TTTAATTGATCAAACAGGAAAGCTTACTGCGTCTCAAACACGTAAACACATGGCCGGCACCAGGGTTTTTTCTCTCCCGGTGCTAATGGGGAACTTGATCAATAGGGCTGCTAAAAAAAATTGTCGATTTTCATGACTTACTTTATAAGGAAGGTCTTGTTTTTATCGTTAAAGCAGATATGGCACGCAGAAAATTTGATATAAATGTCGTTTTTAATTGAGTTTGAATATTCAACAAAATAGCTATAAGCCCAATATCACAACATCACAGCACGAGTTCTATGACAATGACGGTTGATCGTCGAAACTATAATATTGAAATGGAATTAAATAGATGGTTTGTACAGACATTCGTGTTCCCCAGATGATCTATCCTACACACTCCATATTTTGTGGTCTGTGGGACTTGAACCGGCGACCCTCCAGTTCCCAAGCCAAGAAAGTACAGTGGCTGCAAAAAACGTGAATGCCCTATGTAGAGCCAGTGTTTGGTTCGTCCCTTCTGGGCTACTGTAGAAACATGGCGTTTCAACATGGCGGCCTACATGGAAGGCAACCATTTCTGGTTTGCTGTCAAATCTGGTGCAAATATTAATATTCCCCTCAGGAGGACTTGTAGTAAGTGGTGATCCCCTGACTTTTCCTTACAAGCTGTCATCAGATCAAAAGTTCAGTTCGTCCGATACTTGAAAACCAGCTAAACTAAGGTGGTCCCATCAGCTTGCTAACATCATGCTAACATGCTAATATGGTGAACATGGTAAAAAAAAATATACCTGCTTAACATGAAGCATGCTTGCATTGTCTTTGTGAGCATGTTAGCATGCTGGCTTTTAGTTTATTTTTGGGGGGGATAAAAGTAATATTGCCTCTTCTCCTCTATTAGTTTCCTTGTACTTTTAAATAGCTGTATGTCAGACCTTGGCTACAGTGTACTTTGCTGTATGTTGCTTGCTAAATCATAAAATGTTGATTAGTTAGATAGTTTAGTGAGTGTTTACAGGATCACGATCATCTGTGTGTACAAGTTAAACATTAAGTAAGAAGCGTCTTACAGTTACGCTGAAATACATTGCTCCTGTTTATATTGCATGTTCTAAATCTATAAATTAATTCATTATTTTTTAATTTTTTTTACTCTTTCACTTAGTTTACTTTGCAATTAATTTCTGGCTGCAGTCCAATCTCGTCGCTTCTTCTCTCATCCCTGCACTCTCACCTCTTATCCGTGTATCACTTGCTTTTATCTGATTCCATCCCCTCTGCCGTCGTTCAATTTCCTCCAGCAGTGTGCATCATGAAGAAGAGGGGGTTGACTAAATTAGCAGATCAATAGGCCATCAAACAGTCTTTAAGTGTGACACATACAGACCTCCTGTCTCAGGTTTCCCCCTCTAACTAATAGCCTTGTTGTTTACTTTACAATGCGCTGTGTCATGTAGTTTTGGTCTCAGGTTGCCCTCCAGTGCATCGGGACACCCCTGGGGAATCCTTGGTCAGGACTGATGCTGGAGAGCACACTCACACATGCTGCTGAAACATTTTGGTTTGGAAAGTGTCTTGTTTTATCTTAACATTGTTGAGACATTTTTGAACAGACAGCTGTGGTTTATATGATTTTTTCCCCCTCATATTGAGAATGTTTCTTCACCATATAGACAAATGTATCTGTAAATATATATAGGCCTAAAACGAGGCATTTATCTGAAATCCTCAATGTGAATTCTTTAGGTGACAGTCTTGTGTTTGTGCTTTCATGTCACAGAAACATGCTCGGGGACAGTCTCTCCCATCGTCCCGAGTAATGACCTTTGTCAGATGACTAGGAGAGGTCAGCAGAGGTTGAAGTAACAAGTGAGCTGACAGAGGGGGGCCCCCACCTAGTCATGCAGAAAGGAGCTGCCGGAGACTTTTACAGCGGCGTAATGTGCACACATACTCTGAGTCGCCCTCCAACCAACAGGAACAGGACTTTCTTGCTCCTGACCAGCCAGACCTCTGCTATAGAGAGGCGCAGACCCATGCAGAAACACAAACGTGATCGTAGCTTCTCGAACACAAACACACACTCATCAACTGGTTCTGTCCAATCCCTCCCCCCCTCTCTGTCTCTTTGTTACACTCTTCTCCTCAGTCCTTCTCATTCAGTCATAATCACACAGTTGGGCTTCACTGCTCAGACTACTGTGATGAGCCATGACAAGGCTAGAGGCGGGAGGCAAGTGCAGTAAGAGTGGGAGAAGAGGATGGAGTGACAACATGAAAAGAGCAGAGTGGTACAAACAATTAGCACTTCTTATAACAAGAATTGAGGAGAATTAGTACATTTCTGTCTGAAATGTAAGGAGTAAGGTCATTCATAATAATAAATAAAATTAAAATGATGATCATTATTATGCCTTATTCTCAGTCTCTGAGTGCCTTAAAGATAGTATGATCTTCAATGTGTGACTCCATTAAATACAGCTAAAAGACGTTAGTAATATACCATTTGGCCACACCTCGCATCTCGTCTGCCGTCATGTCTGAGCGGGTAGCCGCCTGGGATTGTGGGTGCTGAGCAGTAGTGTGTGTCTCTAGCAGCTCTGAAACACGAGACAGCCAGCCAAAATGACGGGCCTTTGGTGAATAGACACACGCACAAACACACAGTCAGTGTCTGTAAATGCACACAGTGATGCATGCCAATGCCTCAGAGATTTCTTTATTATTTGGTGCAGTGGATCGATAGTGAACAAATAGCATCCTGGTTTTTGATGTAAAATCCAATTTATATCAGAGATATACCTTTTAAAAGTTTATTTTTACATTCAGTCTGATTTAGGTCTACGTTAATAGAAATGTGAAGGGTAAGTGTTGTGGCAAAGTGCACGCGGTCATTTCAGATTCGATTTTAGTTTAAACCACAAGTTGGATCCAGTTTAGTTCTGCACCACGATTAAATCAAATCAAATCCAAGTCAAGGATATTAAAGTTTGTAGCACAAGGAGAAAAACAATTCCCTGCAGGGATCAATAAATTGGTCTTCGGAAAGTCATGAGATTCCAAATAACTTCACACTGTGTAGCTTTTACGACTGTCACAACCATTTGAATGCTTTTAAATGTGAGTCTCTTTAAACAATCACAAAGCTCTAAAGAGTTTAACTCCAAAATATCTAGTGTAGTGGGTTGTATTTACCTCAGTATGTTCACAAATGTGTTTGCTTTGCAACGAGAAGCAACATTACTCATTGTGTTGCTTATAAGCTATGCCACAATGCTTACGTACGTTGTCTCCCCCTGAATATGGAGGTCACAGGTTAAAGATGCTCATTGCTTTGTACATTTCTTGTTTTTCTCTGACTTTCAGTATTATTGCAGTTGAAATGGACCTCCTGGTTATATCCAACTGTAAGTGCTGGGTACTGACTTTTCCTCTTTTATTCCTGGACTGTTCTCCTTGACCACATTATAAAGAGTTACACATTCCACAAAGCAGACGATGTGACAGCTTATCAGAAAAAAACGGAAATTAGGAAAGCAAATGACTCCTTTCTTTGTAGTTTAGTGCATTAATTCACTCTGGAGTCTGAGGTGAGTTTCCAAGGCACAAACCCAGCTCTTTAGTAATATGCCTGACTTGAAGCTAGGCCATAAGGAATTAACCTTGGCTTGGCTTCACAGGAGTTCGAGCTCTGCTTACCATTGTGTACACTTTAAATTATGCTGAGGCTGCTGGTATAGCGGCCTATGGCTGTGGTACGACAGCAGAGTGGACTCCGTTCAGGAAGACAGCTGTCTCACACAGAAGGAAGGGCCGAGCCTCAGCTCCTGTCTGCATCTCTCTACCACTTCCTGCATGGATCACCATTTTCCCTAAATGTTTCAGTCTCTCAACGAGGAACAAAATTAGTCTCCATGTGGTGTAGGTGTGGAGTCTCACCCCCCATCTGTCCACCCCTACTTGCAGGTACCTGCATAGATATGTATGGATCAGTATCAGTATCCGAAATATTTTTAGTTTTTCAAAGAGGAACAAAATGACTCTAAGATCACATTGCCAATCTGTCATACCATAATGTATCATTTATATTCTTAATATGTCGGATATTTGACCAGTTGCAGATTTTGATATTGATGTCCACCATTTTGTATTTTTTTCCCAGACCTGCTGACATTATTTCAGTCTTATAAAATGGACTTGTTCCTTCTTCTTATAATATCAAGCTGTTAGTAATGGATTTTATACGTGATTTGATGATGCATATTTTCAACCATTTATACAGACTGCCTTGCTCCCAACTTGATATACAGTACAGTGGTTCAGACATGTTGAGGCCTGAGTTTTTGCAGAAATAAAATAGGAGTGTGTGCCTACAAGCAAGTGAATTAGCAAGCATTGTGTCATTTTAGATTAAGGGGCCTTTACTGACACTTAATGATTGGTTTGATTTAAAATTTTACTATAACTTTTACAATAGCTGTTTAATGTGTTCAATCAAGTTCTCTCATTATTTTACCTATAAATGTACCAATTTACTGTATAAACTACTGACTGGATGAATGAACGAACTAAACCTGTTTGAAACAGAAAAAAGTTCAAAATAGTGAATCAATTCTGTAAAATGTTCTTAAATGAAGATGTTTTAATTACAGTTTCAGTAAGTGGTGTAATGAGCCTTTAGGCAAACGTGGAATAAAGTAAGAATAGTAGGATACTCAGAAAAAAAATAGACATGCGTGAAACATAGAATAAAATGTTAATTACATTCATTTAAATACATAGATAATTTCAGTAATTCAAAATTCATTATGATACAGGAAATGCATGCAAATAGCTAGGCTATAGTAATTTCTTTGGTGGCTTAAGCTGCTGGAAATGCTGTTGTTGATAGTTGTAGTAATAAAAATAACAATAATAATAATATAATAATAATAATAATAATGTTATGTAAACAATAAAATGTTTGAATTGATACAGTTTTAGGCCTCCCTCAGGCTATCATTAGCTCAGCCTGCTATTTCTTAAAAACGGCTATGTGTAACTAGCAGGTTTAGTGTCAGGCCTACGAAACCCATAGCTTTGACTGAAAAATAAATAATACCGAATCAGCTTATTTTGTAAGTGATATGTAACTACTCCTCTGTCCTTGGACACTAAGGCCGCAGGTCCGGCCCCCCACCTTAAACACCTTAAATGCTTGAAACTTGGCAACAGACCACCAAAAAGTGTCTCTTTCACGTGGGGAATGAATGAAAGCATCATACGTCCCCGTCATACAGGCTGAAGTACTTGCTGGCGTTTGAGAAGCAGAGGTAAGGCGTGCTACTGCCCGGGTATACAACGGGCAGAGGCATGGGCAGCAGGCATCTCCCCAGCAGGTTGCTCTCTTTGTACAAGGCCGGGAGCTGCCCCACCACCACGGGCTTTCCAGTCTCGGGGAAATCGGTAACAGGTCCGTCGATTTCAGTCGAGATTTGCCGTTTCAATTTATTCCTGCGGTTCTGAAACCATATTTTCACCTGGGTCTCCGTGAGCTGAAGGGAACTGGCGAGGCAGGCGCGCTCGGCGCTGCTCAGATAGCGTTTCATGTCGAAGGTAGACTCCAACTGGAAAATCTGTCTCTTGGAAAAAATAGTGCGCGTTTTCTTTTTCGTTATAATTTTGCTCTTCTTGGCGGGGCTGCCTCCTTTGTGGGGGTCCGTGGCCGTGGTGGTGGAGCTGCTGTCGTCGCAGCTACTGTCCCCGCTCTCGAAGCGCACCTCCGTCGCCTTCTTCGGGTCTCCGCGGCTGGTGATGACCGATTCCGTTGCTCCGTTGCAGTCTGTTGTCAGCTCTGCGAACAATATTGGTAGACACTTGGTTTAACCCGCTGTGGTTCAAGTTTTAACTGTTACATTGCCCTTAAACTGCACGTAAAATCACCGGACGGGAGTCGTGCGTAATGGTGAAAACTAATGACAGTCTAAACACAGCTACAAATACACCAAACCCGTCTTACCACTTTGGTTAAGCCTGCTGCCCGGGTCCTGCCTCTGCTGGGCTACGTGCTCCTCGTGGTGACTCTGGAAACCGTCTTTACGCATCGCCGTGGCCGAGTCATCCTGCAACCCGGCGGGGTGACAGCTGTCCCGGTTCCTCCCGCTTGTCTTGAGATTGAGGATATTGTCAATAGTGAATTTCAGAGAGGCGGCGGGTCGACATGTTGCGTCCACTTTGTTCATATTCTCCAATGCTTAAGTCCGTTTTTTTGTTTACTTCCGCGACTCTACTAAGTCTGAACTGGGACGTTGATCTGACCACTAACGTCTCGATACTCCGCGCACCATAGCAGCAGCCACTGAGCAGACACTGCTGGGCTGGCGACGCTCTGCATGCACCGTTACTGCACACACCGGATGGAGCACGCATTGTCCTCGTTGATTGGTCCAGAGGAGCGTGCAGCGCGGTCCAATCACAGCGAGGGGATGGGAGGAGAAGGAGGGCAGGAGAGTGTTGTTGTGCCATCCCTCCACTCCCCTCTGCACCCCCCCCCCCCCCCCCCATCCTCATGCATCCCCAGGAAATCCAGCGATAGTGTTAATTTCGGCTGTTATTTTCACAATGTGATGTTCCGCAGTGGAGACCATTCACAAATTGATGTGGTTTTCGATCGTTAGCCCGCCATTCTCTTCCAGCTTGTGGTCTGCCCAGGCCAATTTGATTCATTGGAATTTCAAGATTTGGGGTTATTGTTGTGTCCAAACAGTGGCGAGAAAAAGTTTGCGCAAACTGTTTTAACCGAAAAGTAAATCGAATCGATTATTATTGCATCGTGTGGACGATGTTTGTGAAATTTATCGTCATTTGTTTTTTTGGTTCTCAATGAGTAATGAATTGTGTCTCTGATTTTGGCATGCTGCGTTTTTAAGTAGCTTTCTTGTAAAATATAAAATAGATACCAACAAAGACGTTGGCTTTTTTCCACCATTAAATTCCAATTTTGCATTCAGCGTAAATGAACGTTTTTTTCCATTTATGGGATCATTTTACTGTATTTTTAGTCATTTACTGGGTTAGTCATATAGGCTAAATTTAGGCGTTAATATGAAGCGGGTGCAATAAAAACGTTAGAAGCTTAATCATGTCTGTACCTTGTGATTTTTTTGTTTTAAAAAAATGTACGCCATAGTACTGGTAGGCCCTTTTTTCATTTCGCGCCAGCATGTGTTTAATCCTTTGCGTTTTGTTTTTTAAAACCCCACAAAACCAGGTTTTTGAAAGAGATTTTTTTTTATGGACAAAGTTGTATATATGCATTTTTACGTGGGAATTCATAAACGCAAGTCTCCCAGAATTGTGGCGTTTTGACTTTATTTATATATAATCATTATTAATAGAATTCTCTTTAGCTTCCCTCCAAAGTCAATGGTGCCACGGACACAACTTGCTGACTGCCGCTGAGGTTATATTTGTTTAAAAAAAAGGTCCACAAACTGGGTAATTAGAACCTGGCAGAACTGGTAGCACTAAAATGGGATGTCTTCCCCTGGTCCAAGTGCAGTTTTTTTATATCTGATTATTTTTAAAAAGTACCCGGTCATTTT